CTGCATTTCCTCCCTATACCTCTAGTTAAGGAGTGAATGTTCCCCCTTCTTTTACACCTCTTGACCTTTGACCTTTGACCCCCAGCTTCGACATCCCAACTCGTTTTCGGATTACCCCCCCACGTCCCGAATATCGTGACCGTACGTCGAGCGGTTAAGATTTGTGCCCAACTGTTGACGGACAGACGGACGCTCGGACGGACGGACGGACGGACGATCATGCGATTCTACAAGCTGCATCTGACTATGTCAGATGAGCTAAAAATGCTGCAGTATCCAGGGAATGATGCGGGCCTGTAATATGCCTGGCGGGCCTGTAACATCCCTTACCTAGTGGGCCTGTAAATTTTCAAATTAATTTCTACCCCTGCCAGTGGTTCTAAAAAGTGATTAAGTCACCGTAAATAGTAAAAATAAAAATAATATTTCCACTTTTTCACAAAATATAAGTAATTCTTTTCACTTTTTATGGTTATAAATTGCTGCATTATACTTCCTGTTTTACTATATCAAATCGTCCAGGTTTTTTGGATTTCTTGGTTGAGAAACAATCTTATCAGGAGTCTATCAATATTGATTGATAGACTCCTGATCTTATCAGGTAAGAATTTGACAATACGTTTAGTCCCGTTAGTTCTTACTTTTAATGTAAAAAAATGGCAACAAAAATTTTACAAATTTTACCATAGAAAATTCGTGATCAATGGAGTCAATTTTGGAGTCATGGACCCCTTTGAGAATCTGGTTAAAGCTACGGACCCCTCCCCAGAAAAATGCACATAAGCACGTTAACACAAAATATACACCTGGTTCACGGACCCACTGAAGCCCATCGCTAGTCACCGACCGCAAAGGGGTCCATGGACCACAAGTTAAGAACCCCTGCTCTAGATGCCATGGCTACAAACTCATGGCTAGGATGTTAACAACATCATGTTGTGGTACATGAACGAATGGGCAAACACACACACGTGCGCACACACGTGCAAACGTATATGCGCACACACACATGCACATACGTGTATGTGTGCACACACACACAGACACACACACACACACACACGCGCGCACACACACACACGCGCGCACACACACACACACATCTATACATGTATGCGCACTCACAAAACCAGTCAGTCAATCAGTTTTGCAAGCAGCGCTGCTGCCAAATGTACAAAAGTAACAGTGTAATCTGTAGAAAATTCTCATCCCTGGAACATCCTTCTCCTCAGCTCAGCAGGCTTAAATTGACTACGTCATGAATTTTCTATGGTGTATATTGTAAAAATTTTGTTTGTTGCCATTTTTTTACATTAAAAGTAAGAACTAATGGGACTAAATGTATCATCATATTCTTACCTGATAAGATTGTTTCTCAAATAGTTAAAAATCCAAAAAACCTGGACAATTTGATATTATGATCCTGACATTAATTGCTTGCTATGGGCTATGTATGAGTCACGAGTGCATGTTTACATCGAACAACATAATAAAATAGGAAGTATTGATGCAGCAATTTAACCATTAAAAGTGAACAGAATTATTGCATTTTGTAAAAAAGTAGAATTTTCTTTTTAACTTTTACTATTTACGGGTGTGAAACTTACTCCGATGTCACTGTTCAAGATATCTTCGATTTCCAGGTCCTCTTCAATCTCCTCCTCTATTTCTTCCTCAATCTGAAAGAATGCCATCGATGTAAAGTCAGTTACCAGACGTAATGTGATAGGATGTTTCACACGCACATTCGCTGAACTAATACACGAGATGCGTAGATATATGATTAAACATTAGATAAACGAGCATATTATATGAGTATGAGCATATAGATGTATGTATATATATATCAGGAGTTAATGAGACAAAGGCGTTTGACACGGATTTGGTACTGATTTCACTACATTTTTGTCATACGAGTTCGATGTGAATAAAAATACAAATGTATACAAACATGCGCTTCTTTTGTTCACTGGTCCTTATTCTATCTTCCAGTAGTATTACAAACCGCGTAGCTTTCTTCGTTTTGACATGAATCATACTTTTGCAGGACATGGTTTTCACGTTATTTACCGTTGTGTGGCGTTGCCAAGCCGCAAACTCTCATGCACAGCAACTCGAAGGAGGCGCAGCAGGGATCGTGTCTCCCGTACGTTATCTCGTGAAGAAGTTTTTGTTCGGCTAACAAAGCCGGGTGATGACGACGTTAACTCTCGACTTTATCACATACTATTGGTGATGATAAGTAAGGTGTAAACACGTGCGTTTGCCTGCAATTGCACAGTAACGGTTGCTATGCAAAACACATGTGCGAAAAGCTACAATCAGCTGGAGCGTCAATTTACTCGCTAAGATTCGTACACATCATTCCTCCGCGGGTGAAGTAGTTCAGATATTTAACCAGCGCGTTTATAAAAAAAAAAACTGCTGGATTCAACCATAAAAACAAGTGCCGCAGAGCGACAGCGCTCACCTGACGGCAGGTGTTCTGATGCTAAACTCACTTTTATGGCAGTGGCCACTGGCAGTGGCATAATTAAGTTACATGTAACGCACTGACAGTACAGAATGCCATAGAAATTATACGATTTAAAGAGCATAAACCTTCTTCAACCAAATTTAGCTTACTGTCAAGAAATTTGGCAGCCACGCGCAAACTGCAATGCATCTTAAAAATATGCACAATGGTTATTGTTATATCTTTAATTTTGACTCAGACTGCCGCTCCTTATTTAGCTGCGGATCCTATTTTGAGGGTTAGGGAGTGTCCGGTTGGACTCCCCGTTTTCAAAGTTATTTCTTCCCCTGTATAGGTTGTATTTTCATGCGTTACACACCGTGTATATATGTATTATATTACATATAATATATAATATAGATTATATATATAGTAGTATAGGTATATATTTTATATATTCAGAACGTTTAATGAGACAAAAGATTTTGCCTGTATTTTGTACTGATTTTTCATTACATTTTTGTTCGACGCAAGTTCGATGTGCAATTAAATACAAATGTATCAAAATGAGCTTTCTTGTGTTCATTGTCTTTTCTATTTCCGGTGTTGTTGGGGAAGTTATGTGAGGCAGATCGGGCGTGAGCTTCCTTTTCGTTGTTGAAGTAGGAAGGCTATAATTTTCGACGTGGTTTGTTACGTTATTGTAGTATGTGTGGGGCGGTGAGGCCAGAGCGGGCGCAGATGTTTGCGACAGCGAGCTGCGGGAAGAGACGCGTGGTATTTGCGATAGTTCGGGGCAGGGAATTTAGGCCGGATAGTCTAAGGCCGGAAGGTGGCGGAAGCTGAGCGGCAGTGTAGAAGTGTAGGAGTTCGGGTTGGGGCGGATTCGCCATAATGGCGTGGGTTTAGAGAATTTAAATTATGGTGTTGAATTTGAGAGACTCGTAGCTAAAGAATGTCGGCTGTGGGGGTCTAGTTTAACCTGACTTAGTGTTTGTGCGCTTTTTTTTTGGTGAAAATCGC